GAATTGGATAGAGATTCTCCCAAGAGACTGAGTCACGTTCAAATGAATTAAATACACGAATACCAGGAACAAAAGAATTAGCATAATTAAGAGAACATGAACCTAGTTCATCAACTGGTGCACCAGCATTAAGTAAAACTGTAATTGTTGACATCGAGCGTGCTTGACAAGCAAATAGAAATGCTCCTCGCATAGTATTACGTGAATCACCACCGGAGAATTTTTGATCAGGTGGAATACCAGCATTGAGAATACACTGCACAATGTCTGTATGACCAAGAAGACATGCACGTTGATAAGCTGTTTGTTTTTCGTAGTCCGGTGAGGACCATTCAGACGGAAAGAGACGACGTACGTTACATAAACGTTGGAGTTCATTTTTCGTAAAATTCTGCACGACAGTGACATTATTTGATTCAATAGCATTGAACAGTTGTTCTTCTTTCAATGTATCATCTGATTCGAAAGAACAAGTTTTGCTGTCAGTAAAAGCTATGTGTGCCAATGAATGTGACTGATCGACAATAGTACGATTTTATTTCTTACGAAAATATTTTAATTTTGCTTTATCTTTAGCGTTACTTTTTTTCTCTTATTTTTGTTGGTTTTTTTCTGTCCTATTGCACAACTTTACTACACGTTGTGCATACAAGCACATGCTTATTTTATGAGTCATCTTTGCTGACGTGATACATCTGAAGAATGAGCAAAAAGACTGAAATAATGAAAAAAAACATATTTCTTCTTTGTTGTTATACATGCACCAAACACCAACCACTTTAAAAAAAAAAGATAAGTACTATCCTGAACCCTCCAAAAAGGTTTCAGAGGTGTCTACAAGCTTCCAAATGCATTCAAAGGCTTAAGAAAACGATTATTAAAATCTACGAAACCTTTTTGGAGGGTTCAGGAAAGTAAATATTTTTTTTACAGTATATCGAATATATTTCATGCGCTTTTTTGATCGGATTTTCTTTAGTATACGTTTCTGTTACTGAAAAATTCTACTTCGCATCGATACTATCCTCTCACAGTAGTTTTCAACTTTTTAGAATAATGGCTTAAAATACAAAAGGGTCTACTGGGTGTGAGTGTGGGTAAAGATAATATGAAATCATATCAACACCCCATATCCATACCCAATTCGGATCCATGAGGACAAAATCCGCTAAGAACTTAATATTCTCATGAAAACTGCACAAAAATGGGGAATCCTTTAGAGATGTTTGTAATCAAGTAAACTTCTACCTTTTAAAAAGATATACACTCAGGAGCCTATGTTCAACTACGAAATGAGTCTTCCTCGACATGCTTGTATAGATATAAAGCTTGAATATGTCCATATCCTTGACAAAAAAAGTCAACTTGTTTACTCGAGTCATAATAGAGATACTCATTTTTTTTCCCATTCAAGTCGCCCTTTGCGCTACTCTGTACTTCATCTTCACAGCTACTGATGAGTATTAACGCCCTTCTGAAAATTTAGCTGTATCTGTAATCATGAAGAAGCTACATATCTGACGTAAGGCTACACAAGTAACACACGAACCACTAGGCGCGACATATTTCGAGAATAATTTGCAGAAGTTTTGATGATAGTCATCTCGAATGGAATCAATATGGTTTTCGACTTTGAAAAAGAAATCAATAAATCTATTTTTTCCTTGCCATTTGATAGCCTAAAACACTGTCAATGTATTTCTTGGATCCTTCTGGAAAATGAAAATCTAGATTAATCTTTCTAATTAATGCATTGCTTGATATGACACTTAGTCAACCACACCATTTTATAAATAACTTTAGTTGCTGATCTTTCTCCATTGCACATTACATATTTGTTTAATATACCATCTAGTCAATACTCCTCTGGAATGCATATTCCATTGACACAACGATACTCATCATTCTCACATTCATTGAACTCCAATTTATCACAGTTCTCCTCATCGAGTCTATCAAAACAGTTTTGCTGCCCATCACAAATTTTTTCTCCAATCGAGACATAACATGCCATAATTACAAATTAACGTCGTATAACATAGATTATTGCCCCATAATTGCTGACCTTCAGTAGCTTCATTTGTCTCAAACGATATTTTAATTGCCTTGCTGAATGATGAAGTGTTAAAGAGGAGTTGATACTCACAATCCTTACCAAAAGATCCTTCTTGTGTGCAGTTACACAAAAATAATTTCTCTGCAGATTTATGGTGAGACGTCTTATGCAAGTAGTAGTTCAATGAATTTCCACTTTTTCCCACTCGAACAGTTATCCAACTTTCGATTAAGTGGCATAACACTGCCCGATAGTACATAATACTACACATTGGACTTTTGTATGTAATACAGTGTGTCCCGAAAGTCCCTTCTCAAAAGTTTTTAAGGATATCTTCACTATTTTACTTCACTATAACCACTTTTTTTTAAACGATAGAGAAATGCGCCGAGTTTTTTTTTTTATTAAGACGATTTTTATAAATACTGTTCAAAGGTATTATCTTCCAGTGAATTACTAAAATTTAGCCTTTTTTCTATTTCAAGAAAAACATTTTGTAAAGTTTTTTTTTTTCGATTAATTGAATTTCTTACGCTATTCGAGTTTTTAAATCGTTCAGATCTTTAAATCTTGTTTTATAAATATTTTTTCTGATATATTCCCATAGAAAAAAGTCCAATGGCGATAAATCAGGTGACTGTGGAGTCCATGAAATGGGTGCACCTCTCCCAATCCATTGATCATTGACTTGGTCTTTCCGCCACCAACGAACAGTTTTTGAATAGCAAGATTATTACTCCATCTGTGTAATAACCGATGTGCTCTCCCGGAGTTATTTGTGTAGAGGATAACTGACTATTCTTCGAATCATGAAAGACTGACCGAACATGTGATTCATTTCAAAAACATAATGCCGATTGATCTGCACTTGCGAATTGAAATTGTTTTTATGATGGCTAAATTAGAATCACCATCATCAATTCGATGATATTTACAAAGCGAAAATGTGTATAATATTCCTTCAGAAAAGTCCATCAAAGTCATTTATGATAAATCCATCGAAACTGAGGGTGTGGGCGTGGGCACAGGTGTCGGTGTACTTCTCTTTTTCGAGACTACCCACACCCAAACATCATACCCACACCCACACATATACCTACACCCCACACCCACACCCGAAACTTCTACGAATGGCTCACTTTTTTTTCTACTATAATAATTGTTCGATGCGAATATATCAAAAGATGCAGCTTGTTTGCTTTCTGTGTAGTATATCACAATATACCTGTATGCCCTTATATAAAGAAAAAAGCAAAACAAACGGACAATTCCTATTCGAAAAAATATCATTTTGCATCATTCACTATATAACGTAAGGAAATCTTTTAAACTTGTCTTTTATGAAAAATGTTACTCTGACAGGCCGATGTTACTATCAATCCACATGTTTTCATCATCACAACATATATTTGATCAAAGTTTTATTTTGATGATTAAGTTCTTATTTATTCACAGTAGAATAATCAAAGACATATATT